AAAAATACCTAGCCTTCGATGTCCTTAGTAGACTTGAAATCGAGATTTCTCTCGAGGTTGAAAAAAGTCGATTTATCACACAGCACTCCCTACTCCGATATTAAGAGGCGGTACAACCGATAAACGGGGATTTATTGGGGTTTTATTATCATAACAATAAGTTGCCTGGCTCAACTTCAGAATCGAGACTATTAAGCTATAGTTAGTGGGGTAGCTCAAGCGCAATTTGCTTTAACAGCTTCCGGACGATTTTTATTTTATATCAAAGATATGTTTGCGGTGTGTACAAACGCTTCGTTTGTTTAATACTAGCTGTGACGGCCACACATTATTTTTGCAAACCTCATCTTTTATATAAAACACTTCAACAGTTTAAAATGCGACATCTATTCGTGACAACGGCTGCTGAGAGCTACCGAAACGTCGGGCCGTAGTAAAAATAATTTTCAAATAAGTTTAACTAATATATCGCGTTTTAAACCGTTAAAGTGTTTTATTTAAATGTGTACTACTCGCGTAAACTACAGACGCTCCTGATCTTTTTAATCACTAGCTCTGCCCCCGATTTCGTCCATGTAAATCAAATAGTTATTTTGGGCATCAAAATTTGTTTTTAAAAACAGTTTAACGGTTTAAAACGCTGTATATATTACTTGAACTTATTTGAAAATTGTTTTAACTACGGCTCGACGTTTCGGATGCTTTGTAGAAGCTCGCTGGAGACTAAACACGGGGAGACTATTTTCAAATAATTTTAACTAACATTATAAAAAGCACTTTTAAATCTTTTCCCCCGTGACAACAACTGCTGAAAGTAATGCGATACGTCAGAGCGTACTTAAAATAAGTTACCAAATATATTCCGCGTTTTAAACCGTTAAAAGAGTTTAATATAAATGTGTACTAATCAAGTATGCTACAGACAATACCCTAATAACAAATCTAATAGATATTTAAGTGGGGCTTCCCTTTTTTGGCTCTATATCAATAAACAGTGTCAACGACTTCGTCCGCTTAGAGTAGGGCATTATGGCCATCCAAATTATGTAACTTAAACCTGATACCGACATTCTATTAGATTCGTCGTCGTCGATATTGCAAGAAATCTAAAAACGCTGACATAATATTGTGTTGCCGGCCTATTTAGGTCATTTAAAGAGGAATCATTCTTTCATACATACTTTTTGGGTATCTTGATTCTGGAACCGTTTTCGCAGCGTACGCCACGAAAACCCACAGAGATGAGAACCTTCCCATTTTTTTTTCACATTTCTCGCTGTATGTTTGCTTGTATTAGTCACAGGGCAATGTTATAGCCTATAGCCTTCCTCGATAAATGCTTTAACCAGCAAAAATATTTTTTTAATTCGAACCCGCAGTTCCTGAGATTGGCGCGTTCCAACAAACAAACTCTTCAGCTTTATATAATGTTAAAAATAGATAGATATTTACAGGAACTTCAAAATTTGTGATCCTAGTCATTGATACGGAACCCTTCTTGCCCAAATCTGACTTCCACTTGGGCGTTTTTCAAAGATCGGTGACACATGATTGATGTATCGGCCCATGTGTTCGTTATTGATGCGTTGAAGTTTGACATGTTGTTTCTTTTTAGTCTGGACAGTGCAGGGTTTGAATACGTCTGATGCAAAAAAATAACTGAATTTTTTACTTATTAAGCTGTTTAATAAAACACTTTTAACGGTTTTAAACGCAAAATGTTTAATTTAACTTCATTGATTTTAACTACTCCCTGACGTTGATGTTACTGAATTACTTCAACGAAGGACTTAAGATGGACGATGTCACTAATGTCAAAGTTAAATCTGCTACGCTAGCGCCATCTGTATCGTTATAGTTGTTTTTTTTTAAATACTTAATGTCTATTTGGAGAGACCACCCCGTGACCATGGCTCTTGCAAAGCATCCAAAACGTCGGGCCGTAGTTAAAATTATTATGAAATAAGTTTAACTAATTTCTTTCGCATTAAAAACTGTAAAAGTATTTTTTTTTATTATATATAGACTTCTCGCGTAAACTACAGACAGTATTTAATTCATAATATATATCGCGTTTCAAAACGTTAAAGCTTTTATTTACATGTGTACTAAGTACTCGCGCAAACTAAAGACAGTATATCATTCATAATATATAGCGTCAAACTAAGTTGAATGCGTTTGATTCAAATGTTATTATTCGCGTAAACTACAGACAATGATTAATCACCTCCCTGTTACTAACACCCTTGAGACAATGGATAACATCAACTTATATTGTGGAGAAGTTTGCGAAGTAATGATCTCATTAAGTGTGACACACTAGCAAGATAGGACCGTACAACAATGGACGTCATTTTAAAAATACGACACATTCTCTCACAAAGGCTTAGAATTGACGAAAAACTGCAACACAACGGTGTTATACCGTAATTGTTAATAATTATCTTATTGTTATCCATTGTTTTAAGGTGTTATTGCTGTATGTATTATTATTGCGTAATATGATACACTAGATGGGTTAGCGACTCTGACTCAACACAAAAAAATAAATAAGGATTCGAAACAGTAGTTTCTGTAGATTAGCGCGTTCAAACAAACAAACTCATCAGCTATTTATATTAGTTTAAATATAAACTATACATTTAAGTTTTATTTAATCATGGCTTTTAGGTTATTAATGAAAGTTCGTATAGTAAACAACTGTAATATAAACGACTATTCCGGCAACGCTTTGTCGTTGCAAGATTATTTTAAAAATGAGATGTAATAATTAGAGATGGCTCGGTACTCGGTACGTGGTACTCTGCGTACTCGCCGGGTATTTTTATACTCGTACTGGCCGAATAACTGCATTTATATACTAGTATACTTTGTTCAAGAAAAGCTATATATATATATAAATTTTTAGGTAGATATAATTAAAACGACAGGCCGATGTTAATCATTTTCAAATAAGTTTAACTAATATATCACGGTTTAAACCGTTATATATTAGTTAAACTTGTATCCGTATAGCAGGAAGCTGACGATGCCGGTTTAAGTCCTGCCCAGTCGAAAATTTTTTCAATTTATTTTCGATTTTTAAAGTACATTTTTTTTTTTCTTGGACCGATTTCGCAGCACACGTAACGAAAGTCCTTAAAGATGACTTAGTTTTTGTCATATTTTCTACCTTTTTTGTTTAAAAAGAATCAATTCGAACTAGTAGTTCCTAAGATTAGCAAAGAAATCTTCCCTACCATATTACTAGATATACCAAGCATTATAATTAGTATATAAAATAAACTAACCTAACTGTACAATTTCAAACCGTTATATAATTTAACAATAACGTTTAACAATTCCAACATCATTACAAATCGAATAAATTAAAATGACATTGACAATCGATTTCAAGGTTTGTAACAGATCTAAGATTTCATATTATACTTATCATTATGATAAGCAATAAAATTAAACACTTTAAACGGTTGTAAACACGAAACTTACGTTACATATGTTTAGTTTATTTTAACTTAGAGCCTACACTTCAAATTAGCATTTCTAATTAAATTTTAATAAATTTCTCGTTCTAAACTGTTAAAACTGTTTAATTCAAATTAACTAATTGCCTAAACTACAGACTGTATTTTTTATTATTGGTATTATAGAAAAATAAAAATAAAACTCTTTGTGATAGCTACATTTGTGTCAACATTTACTTATAAGTATTAAAAACTTATTTACGAGTAAAAAAGTCATCTTTTTAATTTAAATCTTATCTGAAAACTATTTGTTACTAACTGGATTACACTAATAATTAGAGTATGTTTATTGAGACAACGCCTTAACAACTAAATAAACAGAACTAAGAGAATATTATATTAATAATAAATAAACAAAATAAAATTATTTTACAATCATCATATAAAAATAATTACTATTAAATGTTACTAAATACTATATGAATGTACATAACATAATTCAGTTTTTCTTAAAAGGATTCCACTTAGCTACGCTGGGACGGTCCCAACACATAGTCTATGCCCCCATCAAATGTTTTCATTTATACGCTAATATTTAACACAACTACAGATATTAATATAGATAAAATCATTTAACGAACTTAAAACTATTCTAGTTTTAATTTTAAATTTAAAATAACATTACTTAAATACTTTACTTTTTAACTTATAATTACCCAACCCAAATTACAAAAAAATATTTTTTTATTTAATTCTTCATCCAACCGTTACCACACTTGTGTTGGTCCGTCCATTCTTACATACCTACCTTTCTTATATATATTTATGACTTGATATTGTGTATAATCCGTTTACTGTCAACATTATCACATTCTATTGTATAATTAAAATTCACTTTTTTGTGTGTATTCCTATATTTCTTTAATAATGTCAATTACGTTATAAAACAATTATTTGGTTATGCTGATTTGATATAAGCGCCATCTGTTGACACAGAAAACAAGACGTTCGGCGCTTGCGTGTTATCAGCCGAGGTCACTGTAGCGAACGACCAATCAAACGCCGAGTTACGTACGTAAAACGTCAGTACGGTTTTGGCGTCTAGTTGTCAAACGTGTGGATATCATGTGTTTGTGTTAGATTAGTGTTTATTTATGATTTATGTGAATAAGTAATAAAAATGTAAGTATTTAACACTTTTTTACTCTTATATCGAAGTGGCATTTAGGTGTGTAACAGTTTTCGTTGTGAGTCTTCGCTATTGTTGGTTAACCTTCGAAGTTTTATCGATCGAAGTTCTTCTCAGTCGTTACTTTGATAATTGTTGATAAGATAATTTGTACTACTTATTTGTCATTTGAAGTATTTTGTATTAATTAACATATTATAATAATCGTAGAATACGAACGTAATATTTGTTAACTTTACCAAGATCCGATATGGTCTAGTGGCTAGGATACCTGGCTCTCACCCAGGAGGCTCGGGTTCGATTCCCGGTATCGGAATAACTTTTTTATTTTTTTTGCAGATCCCAAGATGAACGTCAAAGCGGCGTTGGCGATTTGCATGGTGTTTGTGGGGTGTTGTTCCAATGTTGTTTTTCTGGAGCTGGTCGTTAAAGAGGACCCTGGCGCTGGGAACCTGGCGACATTCCTCCAATTCCTGTTCATTGCGTCCGTGGGTTTCTGTACCGTGGGCAAATTCGGTACAGCCAAGCGAAACATTCCATTCAAGCAGTACTTGCTTCTCGTGGGATTCTTCTGGACTAGCAGCGTCGCGAACAACTACGCGTTCGATTTCAACATATCAATGCCGCTACACATGATCTTCCGCGCTGGTTCCCTCATGGCAAACATGGCGATGGGAGTATGGATCCTGAAGAAGCGGTACACATTCCTCAAGTACTTAGCTGTGTTCATGATATCCGCTGGTATAGCCATATGCACCATCCAGTCAAGCGGCGACGTAAAAGCACCAAGGGAGACCCACGAGGACGCAGCGGAGGAGGAGAAGCTGAAATTCATTGACTGGCTGTGGTGGTGTTTGGGGATCGCAATTCTGACCTTCGCCCTCTTCGTATCAGCTCGGATGGGCATCTTCCAAGAGTCCCTCTACTCTAAATTCGGGAAGCACCCTTGGGAGGCGCTGTACTACACCCATTTGCTACCACTGGTCTTCTGGTTACCGACAGCTACTAACCTGACGAGGCACGTGGCTATCGCGTTTGATACACCAGCTGTGGACTTCCTGGGCTTCACGTTCCCTCGACAGGTGTTATGGCTTATTCTATACGTGTTAACTCAAGGGTTATGTATAAGTGCTGTGTATGTTCTAACGACGGAATGCGCTTCGTTAGTCGTTACGTTAACTGTGACTCTAAGAAAATTCGTTTCGTTAATTTTCTCGATTATGTACTTCAAGAATCCGTTTACTGTAGGACATTGGGTAGGTACGCTCTTGGTGTTTATCGGTACGATGATATTCACTGAGTTGCTACAGAAATCACTTGCTTTGTTCGCGCGTAAGGATAAGAAAAAGGTTCAGTAAATACTGTCTATAGTTTACGCGAGTAGTACACATTTAAATAAAACACTTTAACGGTTTAAAACGCGATATATTAGTTAAACTTATTTGAAAATTATTTTTAACTACGGCCCGACGTCTCAGATGCTTTACAGCAGCCGGGGAGACAAAAATCGTAGTTAAAAATCTTTTTCAAATAAGTTTAACTAATCTATCGCGTTTTAAACCGTTAAAGTGTTTTATTTAAAGGTTCAGTAAGTTAGTTCAATACGTAGAAATCAAATTTGTGATATATGTGGTTTTTTATACGTGGGAAACTCTATGTCTTTCGCTGTTCTAAAGGTGGGTACTGACCGAACAGTCGCGGCGTTATGTAATTAATCTATACTAATATTATAAAGTTGAAGTGTTCGTTTGAACGCGCTAATCTTAGGAACTACTGATTCGAATTGAAGAATTAGTTGTGTTAACATTTTCCGAAGATATTAGGCTATATACAATCACGCTGCGACAATAGGAGTCAAGAAAATATGAAAAACTCGACGAAAATTATAAATTCTGGAGCTTCCGATGTATGTTTGCGAAAACGGTTCAAGAAAGAAAAAAATATGTGTTGATTTCTCTCTTCTTTAAATGATCTAAAAAATGTCCGAGACAATATATGTCTATACTATCTTTAAAAAATTAAAAGAACCGTCTTTAATATAATCAAATTTGATCGAAATGTTTTCGCTGTTTCTTCGCTTCTATTAGTCACAGCCTCACAGCGCTTTATTTTATAATCTTTAACCTTCCTCAATAAATGTTCTAACTATCACAAAAAGAATTTTTGAATTCGATGTAGTAGTTCCTGAGATTAGCGCGACAAACATACAAACAACTTTTTAGCTTTATATATTAGTATAGATATTGTTCACCCGTCTAAGCTATATAAATCAACGGTCAGCGTACATACTGTACAAATTCTCGATGTGTAACGTTACGCTGCGTACGTTTGGTGTGTACCCGGCAAATAATTATCTATATAGGTATTGATATATGCTGTGTCATTGTACATATCAATGGTATAATGACTCAGCACTATGTAGAAGAATTCTTAGACAGTTAATAATTTTTGAACAGAGTTTCCTATCAGCATCTGTATATGTATTACTTTTAAATAAAACAGTTTTGACGGTTTCAAACGCGTATTATATAAATAATTTATTTTAACGGGGCGATACCACGCCTGTCGCAAAGCATGGGAACGTCGAGCTGTAATTTTTAAAAAAATGCGTTTTAAACCAATAAATGTGTTTTATTATGTTAACTAGAGACACTAATAATGTATTATTTTTATCATATTATGTTTAGAAGTACAATCAAGTAATTTAAGTTAAGTAATCTTTGTGTGGTTGTCGGTCGTGGTTTTAATCAGTTTAAAGATGGGAATTATGCGTTTCTATGCTTCTCTATCATAAACATAATGAGGCCGCTAGGAGCAGAGTAGCCTAACTGTACTTTTTTGACTTGAGTTATTTATATTTTTATAGTCTAAAAATGTTCTACAAGCGCACAGTGTCCGAAAATTGTTAACATAACTCCTACACAAATAATAGTATAAATTCATTTTCGCCTATGCTAATTGCGCGTTTTTATTTTCCTCCTTATTGAAAATCTGGTTCTTTGTTATTAGGCCACTCTGCCTTTAGCAGCCTCAAATGTAAAATTATCTTTAGGGTAAATAGTATAGACATTTGTCTGTTACTTTTGTATGTACACAAGTGTCGAAGTTGAGTATTGTGTGTTTGTGGTCAATTTTTTTTAAATGTATAATAATTATAATATAAATAAATTAGCAATTTTTATTATATTTTTACTAAATTGCATTTTGCATACACAGTGTATTGACAAAAAAAAAAATATTACCCTTAAATAACACTTAACAGTTTTAAACGCGAAATGTATGTGTTCAAAAAATCTATTGCAAAAAAAATTACGACACGGGCGGGACATTTGATTTAATATAATACTTATATATATATATATATATATATTTTTTTTAAGTCTTCAAATATAAATCTTTATGATTACGACTGCTTGCAAAGCATTTGTAAAGTCCGTGACAAATACTAATACATTTCGCGTTTTAAATCGTTTAATTGCGTACGAACAACTATCGAACACGAATAATATTGCTTGCCTAAAAATGTATTGAAATTGAATTTTTTGTTAATATATTTTTAAGTAATTAACATTTTAAACATAGGACAACCATGAGAATAGATGTCAAGCCACAATAAGTCGACAGCGCAATTGAGATGTAATATAAAGTATTTCGCCTTCCTTGAAATGAAGCCCGCACTTATCTTTAAAAAATTTGTGTTTTTATGTCTAGCTATTGTTAACTTTTGAAAACAATAAATTATCAAAGCTTGTTAAAACTTATTTTATTTAATAGCCTTATATTTTATTATAACATAGCGTTTTAATGAACGTCTTCAATGTTAACTAAGTTCCTTAAAAAACATTATTAACTACCTACATAAGTAGGAATGAGAGAAAAAATTTTAAAACACGAACCGTATGGTATTTTAAAAATTGTCTGCAGCTTACATGAGTAGTGCACATTGAAATTAAACACATTAACAGTTTAAAACGCGATATATATGAGTTAAAGTCTTTTGGGATGATTCTGCCGATGTGAGCGCGAACCGAGGGTCTCCCCGTTACTCTGCTACAATTACTGTCTGTAGTTACGGCGAGTAGTACATATTTAAATAAAACACTAAGGTTTAGAACGTCCCAGTTGACCGGCTCCTCCTGCTCGAAAGCGAAGTTTCAAAACATTTTCAAGAGCTTAACTATATATCGGTTTTAAACCGTAACTGCTACATCGATAAGTTTAACTAATATATATGCCTTGTAAACGCTAAATTGGGCCGTGTTTTTACAGCCTTTACTCTTTAGCGACTTAAAAACGCGATATAATGAGTTAAAATTTTTTCGCAAATCTATTCAGATTAATGTAGTTGCGTTTTAAGCAGTAAAGCCCTGGCTACACTAAAATGTTGTCCCCGTATAATATAATGGCTCTGACAAATAATAAGTTGTCGTCTATTTGTTTGCGTCTCATTAATTCAATAGACTTTTTGTAGTTACAATCACCTTAACCTAGGATAATTAAATTCTAGTATTATTTTACTTAAACTTAGATAACCACAAATGATGTCTAGACTGTCGACCCGATAACGTTGGTACAAAAATCAACGTGTCGTGCATCGATTATTACCAGGTCCAATTGTTTATAAAATGAATTTTTATTTTAAACTTAAACTGTCTATAGTTTACGCGAGTAGTACACATTAAAAAACACTTTAACGGGTTTAAACGCATAAGGTTAAACTTATTTGAAAATATTTAATCGGCCCGACGTTCGGTTTTGCAGCAGCCGTGACCCGGCTCCCAAAAGTCTTTTAAATTGTAAAGTTTAACTAATATGCGTTTTAAACCGTTAAAGACTTTTAGTTAGATTGTGAATTAATTAGAAAAATGTTGGATCCCGTGGGAATCGAAACCGCGACCTTGATTATTAGAAATTTTGACATTAGGTCTGTCTGTCATCTGCAAAAAAAGAAAGTCGATAAAAAATGTAGCGCCAGATGTGAAACAGTAAAAAGAAAATTTTCCACACCCGGAACCCTCTAAATGGACTCGTGTTAAGGCCAGTAGAACAAAGGACGGCTTGAGTGTATAATAGGGTTGTCACAGAGGCATTTAAAAAAATAAAACATTAGTCTCCCCGTGACCACGGCTGCTGCACACGTCGAACTTAAACATTTTCAAATGAGTTAAACTAATGTATCGCGTTTTAAACCGTTAAAGTGTTTTATTAAAAAAAAAAAAGATTTTTATTGAAAGTATTTGACGACACGGGCGGGATTGGAACCGGCACCTACGGCGTTCCGTGCTACTCTAACCAATTGAGCTACCATGTCCTAGTGGTATACACCTCTCGCAGAATGTAATTTCAACCTTAACACTTACTTGTTTAGGTTCAATGTTCATTCATTTTTTAGATGGTGGATTTCATATGAATTAGAAATCTATTTAAATTGATAACATATGTGTGTGTCAAATAAAACATTTTTAATCGTTTTAAACATAGAATATACTCTGCATAAATTGTAGAAGGCTTAATATAATATTTATATATAAACCAAACAGCTGAAAATTTAATAAGCTACAGTACGTCACTTTTCGTAGCTTGCATTGCGAGATATATTTCTATAACAATATCTGACGTCAATAGATATCAAACCTTTGCTCCGCTAGATGTTCACTTCTTGCCGTTGAATTATTTTTTCCATTTTCGGAATAGATAGAAATACCGGCTATTTTTTTTTAATTTGTTATTCTTATACTTCTGTTTAAATGCTTGAAAATTTCAATATTTGTCAGTCGTTGGTAACAGTTTAAGTCTTTAGAAAAAATCCTTTGCGGGCGAAGTCGCTGGCACAGCTAGTATATGTATAACTAGGAGAAAAGTTATGCCAACGCTGATTCCCAGCATATTTCCGTACCCTACAAATAATTCTAATGGCAATACCAACATTGGCAATTCAGCCATAATAAATAAAACTATTACGAAGTTAAATAAAACTTTAACGGTTTATAACGCGATATATTAAACTTGTTAAACCGTGGTCACGGGCCATGGCAGAGCATCCCAAACGTCGAGCCATCGTTAACATCCAATAATTATCAAACCAATAATTATCAAATAAGTTTAACTAATATTTATCGCGTTTTAAACCGTTAAAGTATTTTTTTTAAATGTGTAACGCGTAAACTACAGACAGTATTTAAATACTGAAGTCTTAATTTCCCTCCAGTAGGAAATTTGCATACAGCAAACTCAAAATGCAAAAACTACCCGCTCTGAATGGCTAAATTGCGACAACCCTGCGCATAGGGGTGGCTACAAAGAAGTTTTGCTTGTTCGTTAGGAGTAGTGTAGTAGTGGGTCATTAGTTATGTAGCTTCAGACGTGGAGTTACGAATAATATATCTTTTGTCTCTGATTTTCGACTTTCTATTCTGTTCCTCGTAATAATCAGGACGCGGGTTTGAAACCCACTGGGCCCAACGACCAATCAATTGTTTCTGAATTATGCTGATCTTATAGAAATGGGCTTAAGTAACGTCGAAATTTATGAATGAAATCGCGTTTCGGATACAGTCTGTCGATTTCAGAGTGGAAAACCAAAATAGGTCAACAGCGTAAATATGTTTAGATATGGATGGAAGTTTAATCGCGTTTCGGTTTCTGTCTGTGGATTTCAGAGAGTACTAGCCAATATAGGTCGATAACGCTTACGTTTTATTTAGATATGGCTGGGATATTTTTATTTATTGAAAACCATGTTTGTTCTCCTCTATCGTAAAAATTCGGAAAGCCGTAATGTTTGATCGTGCTTCGGCTTGTCTGGATTTCCAAATAAGCCAAAATAGATCGACAGCGCACCTTGTTTAGCATGGTTAGCATCATGGAAAATAGGAAAAGCCGTGAAGTGTGGATTTACGAATGTGCTAAGCCAGAATACATAGTCATAAAAAACTGACAGATGACAGGTCAGAACTTAATCGCTGTGAAAAAAATCTTATATCAAACGCATCAAAATGACCCGATTTTTAAAACTATGTCAATTTTGTCGTTCAAGTTTTAATTGCCTTTTTATTTTTTATACGTGCACTTGAAAATTTATTAAATTCATTTTCACACACTTGTTCCGGCTGTGGGCATCTGTTTAAATAACGTATTAAAAATTTTAATAGAACATTTTAACGGTTTAAAACGCGCAACATGAGTTAACTTATTTCAGCTACGGCCCAACATTTCGGATGCTTTCGGCAGCCGAAGATCATTAAACCAGAGTCAACTAATACATTTCGCGTTTTAAACCGTTAAAAGTGTTTTATTTAAATGTTATTGATAACTACCTATTATTATTTTATTACAAAAATAAATAGTAACATGGGCTCTTTCTTAGTACAATGGTATCCAATGTTTGCCTTGTAATCAAATATGTCGTGACTTTGGTTCTCACCGTGTACAACATGATTGTAATCATTTATAATTTTCTGAAACATGTTTGACTTCGTCTAAAAAAACTATAGGTAGTGAATTCCAGAACCAGCGTCCAGTAAGTTAACTTATGTTTCGCATTTAAATAAAACACTTTAACGTTAAAACGCGATATATATTAGTTAAACTTTTTTGAAGTCGATCAGACGTCTCGGTTCGTTTTGTGCAGCCATTGCCACGGGGAGACGTCGGGCTGTAGATAAAAATAATTTCAAATAAGTTTAACTATAATATATCGCGTTTTAAACCGTTAAAGTGTTTTATTTAAATGACATAGTTAATTACTAGCCGCGTAAACTACAAATAATGTTTACTAAGTATATTATAATTTTTTTCGGTTGTGCAACAGTTTGAAAAATCTTTTACAAGCACATAAATTTCTAACTACCCTCTCAACGCCGGTGAAACAATAACACAAGCCGAAAACGAGGTGAAAACCATCCCAGGTTTTTGGCAACATTCGTCAAGAATGTCTGCGCCGCGAACGGAGTCCTAAATGCGACGAATGACCCCCCAACTGGGGCACACCAAAACCAACCTTACCCACCTAGACATACAGGAGGGGGTGGCGGGTAGTTTAAATTTGTAATAATCTACGGACCAACTTGTTGAAATTCCGTCGCCGTCCGGTGTACGTAGTTGCCAATTTCACGATGTAAGCGGTACCCGAATGTGAACCTTCGTAGTGAGGGGATTGAGTGGGTATTCCCCCGTTTTTCAGTTCACGAGCTGGTGGAATAAATTGGTCGTCTGTATGGAGGGTAGAAATTTCGCTAGCTAAGCATTCGCTCGAGTGCCCACTAATTTTGCCCAATCGTTGCTCGCAGATAGCGTGTGAGACACATTTTTAGCTTCTTGTATTTTTTTAAACTGAAAAATGCGACGCGGTTTCGCTTTGTCGCTGTTTCGTAATTAATGGTCTTTCGACCATGTACAGTTCTTTAATTTTAAATTCGAGAATAAGATTCGAATGTGAAAACTTATTTTTCACATGTGCACATGTAAAAATAAGCTTTCAAATTCAAATGTTCAATTCAAAAGTTTTCAACCTTTGCAATTTCGTAAGTTGAAATGGTATTTTAGTTTACCTTTATACAAATCACTTTTACTGTTTAAAACGCGATATATATTAGTTAAACTTCTTTTAACAATATTTTAACACGCCCGAGTTTGGTGTTTTGCAGTAGCCGGGTCAGAGGAGATATTTAATCATTTTCAAATAAGTTTAACTAATCTATATCGCGTTTTAAACCGTTAAAGTTTTTATTGAAATGTACTCTACAGACAGTATACTTATCTCAAAATTCTGTATATTTAACTATTCATTGTCTAAGTAATGAGAAGAAGTTTTCTTATTTTTTATAACACCTAATATATTATATAATTAATATTGATTTATATTAAAGAATCTAAATAAAACACAATCAATTGCTTGAAACCGATATTTATTTTTGGTATTTACTTTTTTCGGCTGAAAAAAAGACATCTTCTTGTATTTTAAACTTTAGGTAGTTACATTGTATACATATATCGCGTTTCAAACCGTTTAAGCTGTATTATTTTATTGAGTATTCCTCGCGTAATATATAGTAGTGTTAAAATAAAATATACAAAAAAAATATTGTAAAATGTTGAAAAATTCGGGGCATGGGGCAGGTACTTATTAAATGTTATAAGTTTTAACTAATCGATTATATTTACAGGAACGTTGATTATTAAAAAATATATGTATTGAAGATATCGACGATACTGTTGGGAGTAAAACCCACTATAGGAATCGAATAGTTTTCTGTGCCCTGTTCGACCGAAAATATTTTAAGTAATTCGGTCGAATGCGGCACAGGACACAATTCGAAATATCATTCATTGAAAAGACCGACGACACGGTCGGCACTAGAACTCACTACTACAGTGATTCCAGTATTATATTGAATTAAGACTATCATATATTTTAAATTGTACTCTGTGCCCTATTCGACCGTAACTACTTTAAATAAAAGTATCTCATATAGGTTTCTAATCTGTTAAAACTGTGAACAATCAAAACTTCACATGTGTATAGTTTGCATAGGTCGACAGCGCAAATAATAAAATAACACAAGAACTATAAAGAGGTTTTTTTTTGTAATGACCTAGAAATTCTCAATTTTCAGACGGTGAACCGATCAAGCTTCCTGAAAACTTAGAAAGCCTTCCTAGGGCGGAGCACTTCGCCGCCCAACGACACCGTTGGAACACGAATGAGGTATTTTTAGATAATTATATTTTTGTCCAACATTCTTGGCGTTGTTTGACAACCTTCTCCGAAATCTAACTTGCTATACTGGTCGGCCGGCAATAGTGTGAAAATCCATACCTGTCGTGTTTAGACCAAGAACGACCTTAATAAATTGTGTAAGGCTTTCAAGGTCATCGTTCAGCATATCATCGTCTTTCGGGCTGTTCGGCCGATGTGAGCGAGAAGAGGTTCACGACGTTTCGCCATCATTGTGGACGGCATCACCAGAGATGTTAACTCCTCGATTGCTCGAAGAATTAACACACTCACATCGGCCGAACGGCCCGAAAGACAATGATATCAAGAACGATCTTCTCCGCAAAATGGCGACCAAAGAGGTCAAAGACTTGTCAAAGGTTTTATTCAAATTTCGAACTGGCCTGCACATAGATAGCTGTTGAGTAAAAAAAATACTTTGGCGCGTAAAAAAATACAGTTATTAGTTGTTCGTCAACGTCGTCATTGGTTTTAAAGTTCTGGATTGTGCTACTTAGTTTAAATTTCCGCGCATTCTTTGAGAATGGTACTCTATAAGCCTCGGCCGCAAGTAGGCGTTGATGATACTCTTGTCGCTGTAGTAGTGTACAATTTCCTATATCGGCATTTTAATTGTGAGATGTCGTAGGTTTGAGTCCAGAGTATATTCAAGGACTCGGTAGCTCAATTGGCAGAGCACAGAACGCTGACGATGCCGGTTCAAGTCCTGCCCGAGTCGAAAATTTATTCAATTTATTTTTGATTTTATAAATTATATGTGTTCAAAATATAAGTTTTCAAATATTCAACATTATGTTACATTGGGTTTCAATTTATTACCAGAAGAATATACATTCACGTAGGATAACATATACATAGTTAGCTTATAATTAAATTATAACTTATACTATATACCTTAACTTATATATTATTTTAATAATAATAATTGTGCAATCAAAACCCAAAATAAACTGTAACAAACGAAGAACATATAATGCGAATACAATGTTATTAACAATTTAAAATACTAAGTGAAATTATAGTAATGGAATATTATACTAGCTGTGTCAGGGACTTCGTCCGAATGGCTATTTAAGCTAAAACCCACTACCGCGTCCCATAGTTCCCGCAAGTTAATCGTAATATATCTGACATATAGTGTCGCGAACATTTTTTTAGATCATTTAATGAGGAAACATTCTTTTATACATATTTGTTAGGGTACCCTGAACAGTTTTCACAGCGTACGCGACGGCAAACCCAAGAGGATAAATAATTTTCCCCGTCTTTTCCACATTTTTCATTGTTTCTTTACTTCTATTAGTCGCAGAGCGATGTTTTATAGCCTATAACCGTTCTCGGACCAGTAGTTTCTGAGATTAGCGCGTTCAAACAAACAAGCAGCTTTATATGTTAGTAAAGACATCAATTAGTAATAATAGACAAAATAAATTTTATAATCAAAATATATTTATTTACGGTTCTTAAAGATAGTTACAATTAGCTATGACAGGTTTAAATCTGTTAAGACTATGAACAATTAAAATTTCACATGTTAATCGTTGTCGACAGCACACCATGGAATTAACACAATTATTACAACAAATATAATATTGCATAAGCAACGATAAAATACAATAATTTAGTGACCTTTGAAAAAGGTGACTCAGCTACGTTGGGTCTATTGGGCCAACATGGTTCTAATCATTGTTTTCTGAAACATGACAGACTCCTAGATGTTTGGATAACACATGGGTGGTAGGAATATCGGAAGTCACAAATCACCGTCCTCAAATAAAAAAGTTAGTTGTATCGCGTTCCGGTTACCGTCGGTGGATTTCGGGTTATCGAAAGCCGATATAGGCCGACAGCGTATCCTTAAATGTTATGACTAAAGGGGTAGGAATATCGAAATTTCAACCACTGCCACTGACAAAAAAGGTTAGTTTAATCGCGTTTCGGTTTCCCTCTGTAAATTTCTAAATACGCAAAGCCAAAATAGGACGACAGCGTATCTTTAGATGTTATATCCATATGGGTAGTAGTTCGAAATCCAAACATCACGAACAAACGTCAGAAAAGCCGTTTCGATTTCAACCTCTGGATTTCCTAATATCGAATAGGTCCGGAATCGGAAATAGGCCGACAGCGCATCTGTAAATCTTGGCTGGGCCATTTCATCTACCATCGAATCGTGTTTGGCTGTCCTCTTAATCGTAAACTACCTTTAAAATACCTGGGTATAAAATCTTAATACCAAACGGTAGCAATCTATCTCAAGTATTGCATTTGACATTTCGCTCGTGAATCAAAGTCGTTCCACTCGCAAGTGTCATCTGAATTATTAATGTCCGAAGCACTCCGGGGACAGGGGGGAGCTCCGAGTTCCGGCACCTTCGGTACTTTTCGGTACGTGACGAGATCGTGTTCTTGGAATTGTGAAGACCTGAAGGTTTAGCGAAGAAAATTGAAGTCGTTTCGTAAGATTAATTAAAAAATATATATATATAATTGTAACAAATTATATACAAATTAAAAAGGTCTAAAAAGTATTCTTGCTAATGAATCTTACCCCTTACAGGACCATAAGATAGTTCAGACTAAATATAGACAAATAACACAATATTTTAAATACTGTCTGTAGTTAGCGAGTACAGTTAAATAAAACACTCAAACGGTTTAAAACGCGATATATAGTAAAACTTGTTTAAAAATTATTTAACTAGAACCCGACGTTTCGGATGTTTTGCAGCAGCCATGGTCACGGGGAGACAATATTCTAGTTTTGATGTAAAGTAAGAAAACATCTCTAGCAAAACATATTCCACATTTTACACAGACTCTTAGCTCCTACTCACTGCCTCTTAAGCCAAATGGATAAACGTAATGCCTAGCGTTAAGCGAGGTCCTAACTTCGAATCCTAGGGCAACAAAAAATTGTATCGGCCGGGCAGGGCACGGAAGCCTGATCAACTACTTGCCTGTTAAAGAAGGGATCAGTGAAACGGGCACAAAATGTGTTCGCCCCATGCCCCACGAGGGGGAAACAGGATCTCACTTTTAGCTCCTACTATGGTCTATAAATGGTCTATCCAACACAAAAATAATTCTTCAATTCGAACGAGTAGCTCTTGAGATTTTCGCGTGCCAATATTATTATAGTTTAACGCATTCCTTGGTCTAATAGTAGCGATGTATGATAGTCAACGGATTAGATCCCTACCGGGTCCAAGATATTGTGACCAATTTACAATTGCCCTGAAACGTGCATGACTTCTGATAATCGTTATATTAAATAGATGGGAATATATACTCCGTCCGGTTCACTAACCACAGTCAACAGATGGAAAAGCCGTGAAGTTTAATCGTGTTGTTGTGTCTGTGTGTGGATTTATAAGCCGACAGCGTATCGTGTTTTGTTGTAAAGCCTTTTGTACAACTCGCTTATAAAATTACTCGTCTTAGTTTACGCTAGTACTACTGTACTAACTAAATTTTTAACGGTGTCAAACGTGAAATTAAAGACATCTCAACTACGACCCGATGGGGTCTTCCCGTATAACTTATATTCGAGTTTTAAACAGTTAAAAGTTTTTGATTTTTAATGGAACCGACTTCAAAGCATTTTCTTATAAAATACCCTATTCTTACCAATCTTTTTCTTAGAATTCACTCGCTTATAAGGATAAAATATTTATAATTATTCTAACATGTGATCAAACGTCGTCATGCATTTTTCATTGAATACGTCATGTCACGCCATTTTATTTATATTGTTTGACTTATCACATGGCTTGGAAGGTTCAGTGTGTTATGTGAGTGTGCGTATGCGCAAGAGTGTTTATTGCTTACACAAAAAGCATTTAATTATAGCCATAGTCACTTTTCTGTACTAATAAATAAAGCTGAACAGTTTGTCCGTGTTGGTTAGACCATTTATTATTATTAACTTGCAAGAACGACGAGACGCTACCGACGTCGTGAGTCTTAAGTTTATAAAGATAAACAGAAGCTTTGCAAAAACGAATTTGGATGTCCAAAATGACTATTCAACACGAACGAAGTCGCTGTCGCAGCTAATTTTTAATATAGAGGGTAGACAAATATGGATCTCACTTAATGGGAGGTGAAATAACCCAGCCATATAACATCTAACTCAGATGCACTGTCGACCTATTTTAGCTTTGGATATTTGAACACTAGAATTATTCATTGATAGTGTTATTATTTTCTTTACAATCGACTAGTTTCAAACAATTCTATCACCGAACCATTTTGTCATTAATTTTTTATTTTCTTATCGTTCAATACCCTCTGCGATTCTCACAAGTGTGGGTCTATAGGTACAGACTTTTTTTCTTAAAGGTATTTATACTAATATTATAAAGCTGAAGAGTTTGTTTGCTTAAACGCCCTAATCTCAGGAAATACTGATTCGAATTTATTTTGTGTTGAATAGACCATTTATCGAGAAAGACTTTAGTCTGTATAACATCGCGCTGCGACTAATATGAGCGATAAAATATTGGGAAATGAGAAAAAATATTATTATTTCAGAGCTTCAGATGCGTGCGGTCTGAAAACGGCTTAGGAAATTTAAAAATATGTATGAAAAAATAATAACTTCTGAAATAAAATATGGCCGCCATAGTATATGTATATCTCTTAAGGTTAATTCGCAAGAACCGTTGTTATGGAAATCAAATTCGGTCGAAACTAATGCGTTACTACCGAAAATTTTTAAAAACACTTTTACGGTTTAAAACGCGATATATATTAGTTAAAAATATTTGATAATTATTAGAGATGCGCCGAGTTACACTTTTGCCTAGTAACGAGTACCGAGTTTTTTTCAACCGAGTACTCCGGTTCAAACTTATTTATAAGTAACAAAGGTTTGCGCCGGTCAAGACGTCGGCTTGCTCTCATCTTCTCGTAGTTTTGTCTGTTTACTACTCAATCATTGGCGTAGTTTTGATATTATTAATTAA